GGGGGGGGTGTCACCACCACACGAGGAACTGTAATAAAGGGTCGTGGCATTCGGAAGGTTGAGAATCACCGCTCTTGATAAATACGCGTCTTTTCCCAACATAGATGGGACAACCTTTATTGGTAAGTGACTTTGGGGCCCTATAGACATGGATTCTAAGGCTTAAGACTATATTTAAGATCTAAAGAATTAAATGGAGGTTGAGTTCATCGTACTAAGAAATAACATGAGCTGGCGGTTATTGTTAGGCTCTGTCAATTTGGTCCCACTCAGATCAGCCCTGTGTACGATAGAATGGGACCCTGCCTGGCCCTGCGCCAGCCTCGCCCCTGGAACCACCTTAGAGCACGTGGTTGCAGCCACGATGCCAGTCCAGCTTGTTGCGGATCCTCTTCTGTTTTCCCTCACCTTCGACTTTACCAGACACGGGGTCTTTTTCCAGCGCCTGGCTCCTCCTGGTAACATGTAAGTACATGTGAGCTCTCTCCTTGCTATCCTCCCTTCTAAGAAGCAGGAGGCGGAGATGAGGGGAAGAGTACTCAGCTTCTGCTTTTGTATCTTCTTTCTAATACTGTTTCCTATGCAAATGCACCCTTCCCTCCCAAGACCCCAGGCCCATTTTCTGAGTGCAGAAAGCAGGAGGAACTGGGTGGTCCCGGACCTGCAGGATTGCCCATTTCCAGGGTAGGGCTTTCTGTCGTGAGGGTGGCGGGTGGGGGGTGAGGTGGCGCAGGATGCTTACTCAGGCCGTAGTCCCTCTCGTCCGGATCACTCTCATGCTTCCTCCATCGGCAGCACAGGTGCTGGAAGATCATGGTCATGTGGCTGAAGATGATCAGAGGTGGGGGCAGAACTGGCCTCTCATGGAAAGTCATGATGAGCTGATACCTCTGAAACTTCCACACTTGGTTGGATATTGATTTTACCTCAAAAAACGTATTGCTGTAATGGAGACGGAGAGCATCAAGTGAGAAAATCTGTCACCCTCTGAGGCTCCTCCACCAGGTGGTCGGAGGAAGGACCCACTTACTTAAAGACGGCAATGAGGAGGTTGACCAACAGGATGTTTGCCACTAAGAGGTAGCAGGCCATGATGGCGGGCACAATCCAGGCTCCAGTCTTGCAAGGAGGCAGCTGGATGATTTTCCCATCTTCCCGGGTCTCGTTCTGCCCACAGGGAGCTGGAGGGAGCGACACAGGTAAGAAATGAGCCACCGTGGCATGACAGGACTTAACAAAACAAAGTCAAAGGGCTGATTGGGATGGAGGCTTTAGCTGCGGGGAAGATACAACCATCACAAACACACAGGGGAGGAAAACAAATCCCAAACCAGCAACACAGAAAAATGGAAGCATGGTGGGTAGCCCGAGGGGCCACTTCTGCACAGGAGAGTGGCCGTGCCAGCGTCCTGACATGAACGGTGAGTGAGAAGCCCCCACCTGCTCTCTCTGCCCCTTGGTCCCCAGGGGCACTTGGTGTCCCTCTGAAAGTGGCAGAGGGCTTTCCAGGGAGGAGCCAGAAGGGTCCATGACCCTGCCAAGTCACGCTCAACACGTGCGGTGCAGGCCGGGAGCCGACTGCTGTAGCAACAGGGAGGGCTATCGATTGGGAATTAGCAGGAGGCAGCTGTTAATTGCTATGAGAGTCAACCCGGGGCTCCGAGCTAACGATTTGCTGTCTCCATTCACACGGAAAGAACAAACGAGGGCAAGGCCATGGGAAGTCTTCAGAGGCTTGCCACTTGGTACTCGGGACAGATGGGGTCACACAGAGGGATGAGGGACCCTCCCAACCAGTCCCACCAGGTGCTTTTCAGGAAACAAAATCCCAACTGCTCTGAACAATGAACCAGGAGCATGCAGGGTTGGGGGGCTGAGGCTGTGTGAGGGTGGCTATTTGGGGGAAGGAAGGAGGAGGAAGTGATGGGTGGGGTTGGGTGAGCTTGAGTAATGTGTGAATGAGGCTTGTTTGGAGTTTCTGGGAAAATGCACAGAAAGGAATCGACAGCCACCCAGGTGACAAAGTCCCCTATCCTTGTGGCCCAGGGCCACACACCCCAGGTGAGCAGGGACAGGTGAGGAAGGCCTGCCTCTCCGGCTCCCTTGTTAGAACAAAATGCTCTGGCATCCACTTGTGTAAAGGCAGGGAGGGAGGAAAGCCAAAATTCACTCACTGCCTTCCAGTCGAAGCCAGAAAAAAATAAGGGGTGCCCGAGAACATCTTGAAACCCCAGGTGGCACACATGATTCACACATTCAGCTGCTAACAGAAAAGTCGGGATTCAAATTCACACACCGGTGTATCGGAAGAAAGGCCTGGAAGATCTACTTCTGGAAAAGGCCACGGCACCAACCGCATGGCTCTGGCACCCTCAGGCCCTCGCCCCGTGGCCACTGGCTCAAAGCCCTTGGCCCAGACTGCATTTGAGGGTCGGGCAGGGAGGTCTAGACAGTTGATAGAGAATCTACTCCCAGGCTGTGGCCTCTGTCATGGGAGCCCATTCCTCTGGGAGCGTTCCCGTTGTGAGCCTGTGTGCTCTTATACTCTGGCAGCACATGGGGACCCCAGGGGTGCTTTGAAAAATGCCTGTGCCCAGCAATAGCCGGATGATGAAAGGTGAGTCTCTGAAAGTGCCCCCAGGCAGGGCTTGTTTGTTTTAAAGTTGTCCTGTGAATTCTCATACATGAGCCACGAAGGTTGAGACCACTGAAATTAAATTAGACTGGAAAAATAACGAGCTGGGTGACATACCCTGAGGTCTGAAACCCATCCTTTCAGCAGACTGGGGATGGTGTCATCCCAGGCCTGCAGGTTCATGCTCAGAAAGAGGTGGCAGGGCCTTCCTGTGGCTCTACAGGTATTGACAGGGGACTGGACTCCTTTTTCCATATTGGCATCCGTGGTACCAACCACCCCACACATCCCTGTTGGAGCGCCCGGCCATGTCTTTCCTGGAATGGAAGACCCCGACTGGTTCGAGATGAAGCGCAAAGTTGCCATTCCCTACGTTAAGTCCCAGCACACACTAGCCCAAGCGGTTCTCAACCTGTGCGTCACGACTCCTTTGGGGGTTGAACGCCCCTTTCACAGGGGTTGCCCGATTCATCACCGTAGCAAAATGACAGCGATGAAGTAGTAACGAAAATAAATTGGATGGTTGGGGGTTTACCACTACACGAGGAACTGTATGAAAGGGTCGTGGCATTAGGAAGGTGGAGAACCACAATAGTAGACAGAGCCTCTTATAGTTCTGAGAAAGACCACACTCCCTTTGCCTGGTTGCTATTAAGCCAGGCTTCCTCATTTGCATGCCAAAGCCTCCCTGACACCTTCTCACATCCATCTTTTATCCCTCACTCTTTCTTCAGTGCTCACCTTGTTTCCTAAAAGCCAAACAGGTCACTCACAGTGTCTAGACGGAGCTTCCCCGAAGGTCTAAGGGGTCCAGAGCACTGTCCACTGGCCGTTACTGTGTCTTCTCCCTGGGTATGGCCTCTGTCATTTTACTTGCCAGTGTCCCACGCCAGGTTCCCAATGGAACCTGTGTGGTATCCCATTTCCTGGCCCAGTGCATATAACTTCACATCCATACAAGTCCAGTGTTTGTTGACCGAATAACAGAGATCGTGTGGCCGTGATCTGGTAGATGGTCACGCTCAGACATGCCCCATGCCACCCCCACCCGCCTACTTACGAAGTCCAGTCTGATCCCTTGTCCTCAGTAGGTTCGGAGCCCTTCCAGAACTCCTTTCAGAGGTCCCCTTCTTGCTTTGCCACAAAGCAAGCATTCTTTGGGTCTCCACTCCTCCCTTGGCTGCACACAGGTTTCAGGGATTCCTTTAGCTCTCTCTCCTGCATTAGAACCTGAAATCTAAAGGCATTTGGTTTGTGGAAGGCTTCAGTCTGTGGCTGGAGTCATAACTCCCTCTTGAACCCTGACATAACTGTAGCCATCTTGAATACTTCACACACTTCTTATCATTGAGCTGCCCAAGCGACTGTGCCCATTCCTGCAAAGAGGGAACCTGGGAAAGTGAGTGAGGTGGTGCACCCTCGGGAAGCACAGATTAACTGGTGCTCAGATCCTTTTCAGAAGAGAGGAAGAGAGAGAGAGAGAGAGAGAGAGAGAGAGAGAGAGATTGAGATTTGTCCTCTACCCTGCTCTAGCCTCATGGACCAATGACGATCCTGTGGTCTCCCTGACTGTTTTCGTGCAAACATGTATCATTGATCCTTTGAAAAACAAACAATCATGACAGTACTTAGAAAGGGTGACACCTCTTTAATTCACATGTGTATATATATATATGTATACAAATGTTCTTCCCAACCTGGCTGACCTTCTTCTGGTGGCATGGCTGTCCGTTGCCCGCCTCTCTTTTCTCATTGCTGCATGTCCCCAATAACCTCTTTCTTCTTTACTGCTGGAACATCATCGTAAGGAGCCCTGGTGGTGTAGTGGGCATAAGCCATGCGGCATGCTATCTGCCACCAGCAGCTCCATAGGAGAAAGGTGGGGCTTTCTACTCCTGTAAACAGGACTGGCTCTGAAACCCACAGGGGGTCACTAAGAGTCAGCATTGACTCCATGACAGTGGGTTTTCTTTTTTCTTTTTGGGGGGTAACATTGTGGTAGTTTCTGTGGAGGACCCACCTGTCTATAGAGCTTCCCTTCCCTGGCCAACCCCTCTTGCTGATTATGGACCGGGTTGTCTCCTGGTTGGCTTTTCCAACAAGCAGCAGCAGAAATAGCAAAGTATCCACAGAGAGGTGGTCCCTCATCTCCATTTATTGACTCTGTTTCCCTCAATGCCATTGAGTCAATTCTGACTTATAGTAACCCTATAGGCTAGGGTAGAATTAAACTGTCCCTGTGGGTTTCCAATATGACAATTCCTTATAGAAGCAGATGGCTTCCTCTTTCTCCCGAGGAGCTGCTGGCTTTGAACTGCTGACCTTCTGGTTAGCAACTGAATGTGTACCCACTACACAGCTCCACTTTCAGAGAAGGTGAAATACACTTATGAGGGGCAGAGCTCATCTAGCTTGTTCTTCTGACTCTGCCCGAGTGAGGGCCATGTAGGCTCTGGGCAGCGCAAACAGTTAAGCACGTGACTACTAACGGAAGGATTGGCAGTTCAAACCCACCTAAAGGTGCCTGGGAAGAACATCCTGGAGATGTATTTCTGGGAGAAAAAGAAACTCTTGTACTCTGACACGCACAGGCTCAGCATGAGTCAGAGTAGACTCAACCACAATCAGTTTATGCAGCCACTTCCTCCTCGACGCCCCTTCTTTGTCTAGGGAGGAAACCCAGGAGAACAGTAGCTTTCTCTTGCTTCAAGTAACCTGTTAGGATCGCTGCAGCCTCCAGAGAATGTAATTGACCGCAGCTCCCCAGGTCTCTGCTGCTTCCTTCTCCTCAACTCCTCAAAGCCAAACCAAACTAAGCCACTGCCATGCAATAGAGTAGAATGCTCCAGGGGGGCTCCCAGGGGTTTTCTTAAGGTAGTAAATCTTTAGGGAAGCACATGGCTGTATCTTCGGCCTGTGAAGAGGCTGGGGGATTCCAACTTCCAGCCGTTCAGTTAGGGGCTTGACACGTAACCACAGCCCCAGTAGGGCTTCTTTAATTCCTCAAAGGCCTTTACTAATTAAAAAAAAATGGACCAACTTAAAAATATGTGCATTTGATTTGATATGATATACATGGTTGGCCCTGGTAATATCCTGCCCATCGTATGGGGCATTTATTTATTTTGCCTTCCCCCACTTTTTATTCCCCGCCTATTATAGAACCCACTGCTGTTGTAAGTCAATTTCTACTCATAGCAACCCTATCTAGTGTTGACTAGGCTGTAAATAATTATGGGAGCAGGCAGCCTCACCTTGTCCTGACAAGTGGAGGGCTTGAACCACTGACCTTACAGTTCGCCGTCCAACACTAATCTACAGTGCCACTGGAAAATGCATTACAGTCAGGCAGCTCTAGGCTCAAACCCTGAGGCCACCATCCTCAAATGCAGACATGGGACTTTAGCTCACTCCTTAAATAGCAGCACCTCCATCTGTAAATGGTAGCAGTGCACACCCATGAAGTTGTTGATGTTGGTGAATGAGACAATGCATTCAGTTCAGGATCTGGTCCATTGTTAGCCCTTCATTAGCATAAGCTGGTGT